CATCCATCTGCTTCAGAACGCATAGCCTGTCAAACAGTGTGAGGGGGTCAATATTCACCTTTATATTGCCAACAGTCACAGTATTAACTTCAGAAGAAAGAGATACTACTTTATTCTTCCTTTTGTATCTGACTTATTCATATTTTTCTCATTAAACTCTTAACATCGCTTCCTTGTAAATATCTCTAGCCATATGACAGTTGACAGATTCCCTCCAACAATTCCACTGCTTAAGAACATTATAACATCAGTATTAGGGAATGGAGGGTGACAAAGTAACCAGTCACACAGCTTCTCTGTATTCGCTTCAACTCGAGTGACTCGTGAGGGTTTCATTTCTACATGCTACTCAGTTGTATGTGCCTTGCAGTAGGCCTACTCCTCAACCTCAGCACTTACATATATTCTACAAATAAATTATATCATTCCTAGTGTCCATCGGGTGAGCACGGTGTCAGTTATACCACGGGCCCGAGTCAAACCTACATAGCTTTTCAATAAGCAAATGAGCACCTGCTCTATAGTCATGTCCATCCAAACACCCGTCTAGAACTTTTCAGAATGCTTAATGGTGAAGAACCCGTTGGTGGTGAGCTAGTGTATATGAAATCCATATTGTTTCCAATTTTCAACATATCCTGCAGGTACAGATGTAAACACTTGGCATAAAAGAAGTAATATGATGCATGGCAAAAGGACAGCAAAGTTAAAACCTGTTTTCACTGTTTCCTCTTCATTATTTCTATCAATTCCTGTTGATAGTATGAACATTTGAATTACAATAGATTTCTTCCATAAAAAAAACTTATTTTCTGTTATTGAAATGAAATAAATTGTTTATATTCTTAGTATGATTCTTTTATAAGATTTGACCAAATTGAATAGCTTGAATCTTAAAATACAAGCATTTTTTGGAAGATTTTATGAACCTTGAAGAGGCATATCTCTCAATGTGTTAGGCCTATAATCACCTTTTTGGTCCTAAATTGTGAGTAATTTAATGTAGTATTAAAGTAATAATGGTTGTTTTAATGAAAAATAATGAGAAGGTTATGCTTTAGGGTTAACGGTACATTTTAGGATCTTTCAACTATATACATTTTTCTGGTAAACGGGAAAATTTTTTAATTGACACCACGTAAAATGTATTTAAACCAGCTTATATTTAATTTTTGTTTCAACAAAATCAGATAATTCATCTCAGAGATATTTAGGCTCAAACTCGAGTGCACATTTATTTCCCTGACAAAGGTGATACAAAAACTTGTCATCACTCTGTTTTCAATAGTTCAAAAGGCAAAAACAAATAGTGATCATCTCACCTTTCCTGACATAAACATTACTTTAGATACACAAACATAAGTTACAACTGAAGTTCCCGGTTAGGTCAAAACACAGTTTGTTGATGTTCAATTAGCTGAATGTTACACTAAAATTAATTGTAAAGCCGTATTGTGTTTAACTTAAAAACAATTAATGGATTACAAAATATCAGATGATTTTTAAAGTCTGATGAAGTAGTTTTCCCAGTGTGATAAAAGTATAGTTTACTACTAAATTTAAAAGTGACCTATTTAAAGTTTAAAGAGCATGGGAAACACATTGAGAAATACACTATAACTGAAAAAAAATTATATTCATTAAAAAAATATATATTCCACATCAAGTTAAAAACAAGACCATCATACTTTTTCTCCACTTACCTTAACATACGCTCTCAAATTCAAAGCACTTGTGACTGATGCTTTAATTATTTTTGTTTTGGGTAAACACAATAAACATTTTAACGCGATTCCACCCTTTTAATTTTTTTCAACTTGTTGAAATATGTCACTTAAGTTTGGTCACTTGATATCACACTCGCCCACCATTGCAAACAAATATTATTAATCTACTGTACTTAATTAAAACCGTTCACCTTAATAACTTATGTATTAAAAATATTGAACTAAAATATATACAGTATAATGACAAGACAACTAAGAAACTAACAAAAAAATAACACCTGTCACGGTCAGATAATGAACATCGACTGAAGTGAAGACATTGTTTTGACACTTGAGATTACATATCAATCGCCAAACAAACATTCCCCCTTCCCACCCTTCGGTGCTTGGGGTGTTGTTATTGGCTGCCATTGGCTCGCCCCCCGGGTCCGCTGCATACCAAAGCGACAGGACTTTGACTTTCTCTTTCTATTATTCCTTTCTAATAACCGTTTTGGTCTTAAAAATGATAGGTAATTTAATGTACTTTAAAAATGTTCTAAAAATGTTGTTCTTTATGAAAAAGTGATGTTCAGGGTCAAAATCGGACAAACGTAAAAATAGTGAGAAATTCCGCCGATTTTTAAGCTTTTTGGAGATGATCCGGAAGGTCGCCGAGGTTAAAAATTTGGATATAGCATCTTGGTACTATTACAAACAACATAAAAAAAAGAAACCTACTACCCCATTTCATGCAAGATAAAATGTGTTTGGTTACTGGATTATGAATAAAAACAATAAAATTGTTTAGCATAAATAAGGCCTCGTTCACACGTATCGACTTTCTGCCGTGCGCCGTTTACGGCTTGACGTCGTGTTTATTCAATAGCATTGCTGTAAATGCAACTGTTCAAACGTATCGACCACGGCGCCGCGCCGTCCACGGCGGCCGTGTACATCACGACCGTCTTCAAGCGACGACGCGGCGTCGTGCCGTACTCGACCTTTTGAACACCATGGTCTCTTATGGATGCGTTCACACAGGTCGACATGGGGCCGTCCCGACTCGGTCTAGCGCATGCACAGACATTGTTTATTTCGGTGTCTTCCTGGATTCGAGAGGTGTAGTACATCCATCAGAAAAGGCGGAATCTTCCACTTTTGTAAAAAAATTGTAAAAATAACTTATGTGAACAGTTCACAAGTTCATAGTATTATTTGCTATAAAACATTAGTTTTTAAATAGTGAAGTCATGCCTTAAGATGGGCCACAAAGCTCGCTTGTAAAGATTAACCAGATTTATTTGGAAATGAAGTCAGCTTACATAATTTGTATGATACATAAAATACACCTTTTAGCGCAAAACCTGAGAGTAAGGCCTCGGGTACGATACGAGCAGGGAGCGGTGAGCGGCAAGCGGCGAGGGGCAACCTGAGCGGCACGTAAGCGGCGGTGGTGGCTACGATACAAGCGGCACTTTTATAACACTCATGAAATTTCCCCAGTTTTATGAGTCAATTTAGTCGAAAATGGTAAACTATGCTTACCTGCAAGACGTATTGCAACTATTGTTGCTATCTGAAAATTGTTTGTCTTTAAAGAAAAACTTAGTTTTTAGAAAAACCTTAACCCTAACTTTGTTCAAAAACCTATTTAACAAAGTACCCTTTCAGTAATTATTTTATTTTTAATGGCACAATATATATGTATATACTTATATTCATGAATAAATGTGTTACAGCAAAAACTATGTTATAAGTACCGAGTGCAAAAAAAAAACTCTGCCACCACAGGAATTTATAGTGCGCCAGATCTAGGGTTAAAATCTATCCGAGATTTTCGTTAACTGAGGCAGTCTTGGTCCCAACAACCTTAGTTAATCAGTACTGTAACTTAACTAACTTGTAACTTAACTGGGAGTACTGTAATCGTAATTTTCTGTTTCATGCTGGATCAAGTAATTGAATTCTACCTGACATACATTTTTAAATCATTTGAAAAGATATGCAAAATGAAAACAAAACACTTTTAAAAATATGACATTTTAAATTCATAATCTATACCTATAAAAGAGGAACTATGTATGTATGTATGTATGTGTGTATATATGTATATACGTTATGGACTTCGAAACCGCTTGACAGATTGTATCGAAACTTTCAGGCATTATTAAGCATCTTTCAAGGATGGTTTGAGTGAAGTTTGGTGCAGATCCGTCAAAGGGCCAATGCCAGACTTTTTGAACTACAATGTTTACAAATAAATATAATTTAAAAGCAGATGTTTACTTTAAGCAACCTGTTTTGTAGGTTTGAACATAGACAAATAGAATAAATATAGACCGTCAGCTGTGCTGCGGTTAGCAGAAGTTTTGGCGTCCACCGCTAGGTTTGCCGTGTAGTTACGGCGCACACCGCTGCAGCATCTGCTGGTCACATACGGCTCCTGCGCTACTTTTTAAAATTACTTTTTAAAAATGCCACGTTTTTAAACACACTAAAGAGTATAAAATAATTTATAAAATGTTGAGAGAATAAATACTTGTAAGATTTAAAACGAAAAACGTGGGGCGCATGCAATAGATCATAATAGTTCAATAGGTGAAGTTAATTGTAAATCAGCATGCGCCCCACGTTTTTCGTTTTAAATCTTACAAGTATTTATTCTCTCAACATTATTTTATAAATTATTTTATACTTTTTAGTGCGTTTAAAAACGTGGCATTTTTAAAAAGTAATTTTATTTATAAATTATTATTTTTGGTATACTCTTTTATTATTCATCGTAATGAACAAATTACCATTTAAAATAATAGTTGTTAAGCGCAGCAAAAGCGCGCCGGGTAACTGCTAGTACTGTATAAAATTTGAAAAACGACTTGTAGTGTTACAAAACAAGATTATAAGGAAAATCTTTGGACCAACCTTTGAAAAAGGAGAATGGAGAGTAAAGCACAACAGGGAGTTCAGGTTGAGACAGTTGTACAGGAAATCAGATATTGTGGCTGAGGTGAGAAGTAGAAGATTGAGGTGGGTGGGCCATGCGTTTAGAAAGGAAGATGGCTCCTTAGTGAAAACAATTAGGGCACCCTAATCAACAACCCTCAGGGTAGAAGACCCTGTAAGGTCCAAGTTGAGGTGGAGAGATTAAGTAAGAAGATACCTGAGAAGAATGGGAAGAGAAGAGGAGCAATGGATTGTGGAATCTGGAGGCAGTGTGTTGGCGAGGTAAAGTACCTCCTTGGGTACCAAGAGCCACGGCAGTAAGTAAGTAATAGTGTATGAAATACTTACATTCATAAATGGAATGAAGATCTGGGATGATTCATCGTCAGAGCTAGAAAAAAATCAATATGTATTTTAAAATTTACATTAAACAAACAAAATATTTGTAAAACATGAATTTGAATCAGTAATCAGTCATTTAATAACTACTAACATAATGGAAATTTTTCCCCATGAACGAGGAATTCTAAGGACCCCAGAAGCCAAGGAGTCCACATAAAAAAATACTAAATTTTAGATATTCAAAGTTTAAGTTCAAAATTAAAAAATGAGGTTTGAATTGTAGAGTCATTTTCAATGTAGCACATACTAGTTTAAGTCTTTAAATATGTAATACCAACCACAAAATTTGGGAAAACTTTATATTAGACTTTTAGTTGCTATTAGCCCTCCAAGTGGCCGACCAACTGTATTGGTCGGTTCATGAGTGAGCCTTAGAATGGCCAACGACCGAATCGGTCAGTTTGCGTCCAAACATTTTGAAACGCTGATTGAACATTTACTAGTTTTCAAGCGGTTAAAGAGGAGCCAACAGCTGCAATGGTCGCAATACTTAAATATTTTTGATACTATGATTCTGTTTAGGCATCAAGTTGCTAAATTAATTGTTTTTCTGGGAGTTGGTGAGAATACTGATATCTGAATATATATTAATTAATTACCATTAGTAATGTTATTATAATTGTTATATGATTAATTAATATTTACCCTTAAATTGATCAACCAAGATAATTTCCTCAAATAAGTTAAAGAATTTTAATTAAAAAGAAAATATTAACATTTATTATTATTATTATTATAAGCAGGTGTATTATTATTATAAAAAGGTGTTTAATCATACATTCAAAGTCAATGGTATAATGGTTTTACGGAACGGCTTGCTGAGAATGACCATTGTAAACAGTGGCGTAACAGATTTTTTCGGGCCCCCCTGCAAACATATGTTTTGGGCCCCCCTCCCTCGAGTTATTTTTAGACCACCATCAACAAAATCAAACGCCCTCCCCTCCCCTCCAAATTAAATAAGTATAGATTATGTTGATTAACCCTTTGAGGTTGATTTTTTTTTAATTTTACAGCGAGTATAGGTTGTCATTCTAGCAGTCGGGAAAATGGTGCCCGGCGACATATACTTGCCATTCGACCACAAAGATAAACTTTTTTGTGAGTATAGGTCATTTTCCCGACTGCTCAAAAATGGCGGGCGGCAACCGATACTTGCCATTCGATCGCAAAGGGTTAGTTATTTAATTTAACTTTGATCTCTATTATTAGCCATCTTGTACACATTTGACATATTACAAAATTATTTTCAACCTGTAAGCCTATTGGTTATGTCCGTTTAATGAATAAATAAATAAATAAAATAAACGGTATCAGCAATCTGACACATACTTTCTCCCATAAGCTTGTCAACAACCTTTGACTAAGTGGTTGGAGCAACTATGATAATTTTGTAGGGAAAAATCAATATTTTAAATATTTATTTTGTTGCCATTTTCAAGTTCTTCATTTCATTACGAACACTTTAAGTATACGGTTCAATACGTTTGGTCTGTTGGTTTAAGCCTATAAGAAATTTTCGCTAATATGACTGCAAAATTGCCAAAAATGCCTTGCCACTACAGAGTTTGTGCATTGCAAGTTGGAGGGTTAACGAAATAGTTAAAAACCCTTTTAAACCGGCTTTAAAAATCACACTATAAAACTACATTTTATAAACACAATTATTAATATGCGTAGATGCCGGGTGACATATGCTATGCACTACCGTTCTGGCTTACTCATATGCAAAATCCTTAGAATAAAAATGCAATAACTAATCACCGATATCATTTAACACAAACCAACATCCAAAACTAAACACATTTTTAATACAACATAGATAATTTACACATTGACTGTTTTACATATGTTCTTCTTCTCACTATTAATTTTTGCTTCGCAATGGGAAAAATCTGTTTCATAATCATTGAAATAGATTTATAATAAATAATCTATCATAAAGTTTAAGATGATATAAACCTACCACATGGTTGTTTTACATGGTGGAAGGAAAATACTTTTTTTTTGATCAGCTGTCGGAATTTGTTAAATAGACATTTGACAGTTCTAGTTGTTTACAATAAAATGTCAAAGCAAATGTAAACATTGTGAACTTTCTCATGCTTCCATGAAGACCAATTATTTAATATTTAATTTCTGACAACAACTGGAGTTTCAAAACAATGTTTCTGACAACAGCTGGAGTTTCAAAACAATGTTTGTTTCCCATGTTAATCTTATGGATGAATACGAAACTTTAAAGGGCCCCAGGGCCTCACTCTCTAATTATTTACCTAAAAAGAAAGTTTCCTGCACAACTTCAAGTTACGCTCTTTCCAATGACACCAAAAACATGCCAATCGGTTCAGTAGTTTCGGAGGAGTAATTGTCACAAAAATCGTGCTTGCGTATTAAATAAGTACTAGTGTACATGTTGCTGGAAATCGAGCAATTACAAAGAAGTACAGGAGTTATTTATAAACAAATCACTTGTTTGAAAACTAATAACAGTCATGATTTCTGATGATGACGGGAAAAGGTAAGCTTACAATTTAAGTCAACGTAAAAAGGTTGTCAGATTTTATAAAGTACCGTACCTAAGTTATTTAGCCAACTTTTAGACAATAAGGTGTAGGCTTTTTAAACTCTACAGGACAGAGTTAGGCAAAAACTGGCAGAACTCTGAAATGGTGTATTTATCATAGGCTTACTCATATGCCAAATCCTTAAATAATAAAAATTCTATGATTATAACTTATATCATTAAACACAAACCAACATCCAAAACTATACACATTGTTAATACAACATAGATAATTTACACATTGACTGTTTACAATTAACATATGTTCTTCCTCTCACTTTTAACTTTTGCTTCACAACGGGAAAAATCTGTTTCATAATCATTGGAAATAGATCAATAATAAATAATCTATCATAAAGTTTAAGATTAAATAAACCTACCACCTACTTCTTTTATTTTTTTGGATCAGCTGTCTGAAATTGTGAAATAGGCAGTTGACAGTTCTCGTTGTTTACATTTAAATGTCAAAACAAATGTAAACATTGTGAATTTTCTCTTGCTTCCATGGAGACCAATAATTATTAATTTAAAATTTCTGACAACAGCTGGAGTTTCAAAACAATGTTTGTTTCCCATGTTAATCTTATGGAGAAATACAAACCTTTAAAGGACCCCAGGGCCTAACTCTCTAATTATTTACCTAAAAAGAAAGTTTCCTGCACAACTTCACGTTACGCCCTTTCCAATGACACCAAAAGCATGTCAATCGGTTCATTAGTTTCGGAGGAGTAATTGTCACAAAAATCCTGCTTGCGTATTAAATAAGTATAGATAGATGAAAATTACAATAGTTTTTTGAGAAATTTTTTATTATCTTTCAATCATATAATTCCTGTTAAATCACTAAAAAAGAATGCTAAAACTAATAAATCTACTCTGAATTGGGTGACCCAAGGTATAAGAATTTCCAGTAAGAGGAAACGAGAATTGCACTTGGAAGCCAAGTTTAGTATAGAAACCAAGAGTTTTTATCCTATGTAAAGCAATACAAAAAAATATTTAATAAAGTTGTAAAAAATTCAAAAATTATCTCAAATAATAACCTAATTAGAAAATCTGAAAACAAGTCTAAGGCAGCTTGGCAAATTGTTAACAATGAACTGGGTTTAAACCGTACTCAAAGATACAAAATTATTTTAAAAGATGATACAAACCAAACCACTGTTGATAATCCTGATGATGTAGCTAAGCTTTTTAATAGTTTTTTCTGTAATACAGTTATTAATCTGAATGTAAAAAAGACTTCTGTCAATGGTGTTCATTCGTCTGTAAAATCATACTGCAGTGATGGTGGGGTTACATTGTGCAATCTTAGCCCCACTAATAAAGATGAAATAAAAAAGATCATCCTTTCTCTAAAGAACAAAATTTCAGTAGGCTGGGACGAAATCCCAATTAAATTGATCAAATCTGCTGCTGACATTATCTCCGAACCCTTATCTCTTATTATAAATCAGTGTTTAAAGAATGGTATTTTTCCGGATCAACTCAAGTACTCCCAAATTTCTCCCGTTTTTAAGAAAGGTTCAAAATCAGATATTAATAACTACCGTCCAGTATCAGTATTAAGTAATTTTTCTAAAATATTTGAAAAAGTAATAAGCTATAGACTAGTTAATTATTTTGAAAGTAATAATTTATTTTACAATAAACAATTTGGTTTCTGAAAAAACTTAAGCACAGTTTCTGCTCTTTCTCAGTTTTTTAATGAGATTGCAGAGGCCTTGGACAGGTCTCAGGCCACAGCAGGTGTTTTCTGTGACCTGTTGCTAAAACTTATTGATTATGGGATTGGGGGAAGTTGCTTTTCTTTAATACAATCTTACCTTTCTGAAAGAAAACAAAGAACTTTAATTTTAGAAGATAACAACAAACATTATTCACCATGGGAAATTATATCCACAGGTGTTCCCCAAGGTTCAGTATTGGGCCCACTTTTTTTTCTTATTTACATTAATGATCTTCCAAAAGCTATTAATAAAGAACTAATTCTTTTTGCCGATGACACTACTGCTTTGATCAAAAATAATAATACAGCTGAAATGTTTTCTTCTCTGCAAAGTGTGGTAAAGGACATGGAGCAATGGTTTTTAGAAAATGGGTATACAGATGTATATATTTTTAATGTATGAATACAGATGATATCGACCTAATTTTGTTACGTAAATAATTCAAATGTGAATCCCATTTAACTGCGTCATCTACGTAAACCCCTAAGAATTTATGAGCTTCAACTAAATTAAAGGAACAGTTTTCCATATTTTTGTGTCTAGTAGAAAATTTAATAATATTTGTTTTTTCAACATTAAGTTTTAAGGGACTGTGTTTCTATTGAGACACTTAAAGTAGTTTACCTAACCCGCCATGTTAAACTTCCCTATCCCAAGCGTGATGTATACAACTTCCTTACTTCTCGAGTGATG